CAGACCATGGTGCGCATCATGGAGGATGAAGATTCCGTGCAAATGGGGTTCGTCCACATCCTGCGCTTCAACCTCTATGTGCAGATCCCAACGCTCGAGTAGTGCCGGATCCTGACGGAGTGGTGCTCGCGAGCTGGAACTAGGCTCTGCTGGCACCTGCACCATCTCTTCCAAGTCCACGACCCGGTCCAGGTATGGGTCTGTCGTGGCCGGGCATGGGGACTGCAGACCTGCCGTGCCTGTCTGATTTCATCAGACTTCGGAGAGGAAGCCTCTGCCTGCCTGCGAAGCCTCCCCAATCTTCCTTCGTGTCTCGCAAGGAGGCGTCCAGCGAGAAGGCTGTGTCCTCTTTCTCGGAGGTGTTCGGAAAACTGCTGCAGTGCCTAGGCCTTCCGCCTTTGGTTCCGTGGACTTCTCTTCATCACCTCCAGCTCGACGCCTCATGAGATGGGGACTTGGAATGCCCGGAATCGTCGACGTCGGCGAAGCGGACATCGGAGACATCGCATCCAGGAGCAACTGCGTGGGCGACACCGGAGCTGCACTCCCTGCAGGACTCGCGTCCCAAAACTTCGAGCTGTGTGAAGCCATGCCTTCCCAAGGCCCTGAAACTAGGCTGAAGCCAAATGCTCCCAAACCTACGCGAAGTGAAGGAGTGCATGCCCCCCCAACTCACTCCACCGACGAGCGATCGAAACGAGAGCCTCTTGACTAGCATTGTTTTTTAGTCTTAGTCTTACTGTTGAATTATTTTTCCCATGTTACTGTTTTACTCTTTGACTACTCGGGGTCCCAGCTTCTCCTTTATGGTTTACGCATCTTCACGATACTAGACAGGTGTACACGCGCAAAAAAATGCATGTTGACGTAGGGCATCATCCGATCGACACGATCCCGGCGGCAGGGCCGTGTTCACCTTCGCTGTCGTCGCGGACCCGGGCCTCACCGAGGAACTCTCCCGGGCCACACTCGGCGATGAGGACGCCCTGAGACTCCACGGTGGCCGTGCCCTGATGGATCATCACCTGCCACAGGCCCCAGAAGATGCGCTGCAAGATGCACTCTTAAGGCTCAGTTGCGCCGAGGAGCTCCATATCGGGGCTCCTCACCTTCTGTCAGAATATTCTGGTTCGGCAGGTAGACCCGGCGCTCGAAGTAGTTCGACACCTTGCGTCTCAGACTGAGAGCACGCTGCAAAAGGGCGCCTTTTGTTTCCGGGCTGAGAGTGCTGCGCGGGCCAGGAACTCGGCTCCGCAGGCGCCGAACCTGAGAAGAGCATGAGCAGAGCTTCAGCGTCGAAGCTTTGAAGCTTCGAGGAAGTCCCCGCTTTCTTCCAGCCGAAGGGCAGCCCTTTGTCCTGCTGCTCGGCTGCTACAGTCATGTCGTCTGGGCTGGCCAGGTGATTCCTTGCTTGAAACAAGCTTTGCACTGAGTCGAGGGAGTCTCGGTCAATGGCCTTGTCAGTGCCATCTTCTTCTCCAGCATCCTCCAAGGCAGGAAAAGCTTCCTCAAGCTGCCCCTGTAACTGACAGAGAGAGCATGCCCCACTTAAAGCCTTAGAGCCTCTACGTGTTTGAGACTTCAGGGTGCGCCTCTCCAAGCGCGCGATGTCCTCGGGGAGCCGAGCCCGGACGATGGGCACCGCGGCGCTGGAGGCCGGGAGGACCATGCACTCCGACACGGTGCAGCTCCGCACCTCCGAGAGCTGAGGGAGAGATCCCAACAAACGCGACTACATCAACAACGACTCCTCCCTTCCCCTGACGTTCCCGGCTCCCCCGGTGCGCCGTGGCTGCAGAGGGCGTCCCGGGCTCCAGGATCCCGCGCTCGCCGAAGATGGCCGGCGCCACGATGTTAGCAATGTGAACGCCACGGACCTGCCAAAAAAAAAGGATATCTGCAAACACTCGTAAAGAAACCCCGAGCAGAGCCTCCACTTCGACCATTCCGTGAAGCAGGACGGTGAGAAAACTCTCCTGGACAGAGCCGGATTGGGACTTCGGGAAACCGAAGGGCATCCACAAGAGCTGTGAGCTTCAAGCCGACACTGAAGAGTTCCTTGCCCTCTTGCAAAATCGTCTGCTTGGGTAGGAAGGGCTGCTCGTGCATGTTATCCAGAAGGATCTGCAGAAACTGGCTGCTGAAGCTGCCCTCACCTTGGCGAGTAGACTAGAAGACGAGACTCTTCCCTGCTTAGTCTCTGGAGATTCTCATCCGCGTCCACGGCGCTGGCACCCGCACGCTGCAGCGCCGATGCAGTGGCTTGCCTGCTCTGGCTGTGCGCTTCGATGACCTCCCTCACACGGTCCTGAGCTTGCTGCCCGAGGCAGTCGCATTCACGGAATAAAACGAGGAAACATCCCCCAGGGACCAACACACTCGCTTCCACTGCCATATCACTCATGGGTCATAGCCTTCATCCGCGGCACCTTGTCTCCCGGGTACTGTGCCAGCGCCTCTAGCAGCGCCGGCCGCGTCAAAGCCCGGAGGTCGCAGACGCAGTCCGCCTTCACGACGTGTTGGTACAAGAAAGAGGAAGGAGAACGGAAACACGAAAGACTGCCAGCAAAGTGCAGAAGTGTTCGGCATTGCTTGGGCCTTAATGGTTGCCGTGCGACGTCCTGGGCTCGCGAACTTCAAAGCGTGAAGGACCCTGCCCTTCACGACTCCCGACTGCATTGCTCGCCAAGCATCTGGTGATGTTTAGAACGGCAAGCCCGCCAAAACAACTACCAGGATGCAGGTGGCTCAAAGGCTCCTGTGTAGTCTCGAAAGCCGCATCAGGGCGCAAGACGAGAGAGTGTATTGATCAAGTCAAGTCCACAGATTTCACTATACACAGAAGCAAACCAGCGCTGTCCGAGTTGTAGCCACGAAAGACACTGCACTTGCCGACGCAGAGCCTTGGAAGGGGAAGGATGATCCCCACCCCACAAAATATGAAGCGGACGGGGGGTGCAAAATGGATCCTAGCTTTTTCAATCTGCCAAACTCAGCGTGGAGGTGATGTACGAAGCCGAAAAGCATTGCTTTGTCCATCTCCCGGCGGTCCCCCCCGTGAAGCCTTAAGCCTATAAACCCTGAGCCCAGAAACGCTAAACCCAGAAACCTTAAACGCCTGGAACCCACATTATAAAGCCTGAGCCCTAGAAACCCTAAATCCTGCACCCAGAAACCCCAAACCCCAGAAACCCTGAACCCAGAAACCTCAACCCCAGAAGCCCTAAACCCATAAGCCCCAAACCCCTAAACCCATAAACCCCGAACCTAAAAACCTTGAAACCAGAAACCCTAAAAGCAGAATCTGAACCCAGGAATCTCAACCGTAAACCCAAAAACAGCAGGCTGTTTTCCCTCTCCAGCACGTCGACCAGCAACTGGCTACCATGGTGCCCCCGGTCGCTGCCCCGGTGTCCACAAGGGGAGGTTTTTGCCCCTAACCCTAAACCCCGAAAGCCCAAACTCAACTGCAACATTGCCCCTAACAGCACTTTCAGACCCCACCAAGCAAGGGCAAGCACAGAGGTTGACCCTGGTTTTCTAATGAGTCTGACTACTAAAGAAAGAGGGCACTCACCAATACATTGACTTCTTCACATCCATATAAGCGACCTCCTCCCAGAACACATTAATCCGCCTCGGCAATGTATGGGGTCGACATACCCCCCACTCCAAAATACATTCAGTTAGGACCAAACATCTCACAATGCACAACCGCTCACAACTGTCTCCGAGGATCTCTGTGCGCTAGCCTTTGCGGGCCCCATGCGTGCCAGATCGTTTTTTGGCTCGGCATGGATCCCTCGCCCCCCCGGTCCATTTTACAATGTGGGGGGGATATGCACACCCCCCACCCACCTTTGCGGATGCTCTCCAAGCCCTGGAAAGTGTAAAAATTATGCTTTCCATTTATGTAACCACTGAGGACTTTCTTCATACCGGCAAGGCGCACATACATCTCGTCCCCCGCATCGCCCTCTTGCATGACTACCTCATCGCGGCAGTACACCTTCTGCCTCAGCTGGTCGCCAAGGTGTGGACATCCAAAAGTCCAAATCTTCTGGAGAAGCCGAGCGGCACCATGAGGCCACCTTCAACAAAGTGGAATTATACTGGACTTACACGAGCACATGGCATGCACAGCATTCTCGCCAAGCTTCGTATCACTCTGCAAAACTCGGCACTGCAATTTTCGAAAATGTTGATTTCACCTCAGCTGGCATCGTTGACTTCAGACGCGGCTCCGCTTCCTAGACGCAGAAGAGCTACTGACTCGATCGGTGAAGGGGAAAAGCAACTGCAGGTGCTTCATCGCAACTTTGTCCTTAGCCAAGCCGGAGATTTTGCAATGCGGGCACATGAAACCCGTGTTGAATCGTCGTCACTGCATCCGAGACACGAAGAAGCTGCACCTGAGAGCTTCGAGCATACCAAAGTCAGCCCTCACAGTTTCCAGACACAGCAGATTGGCAACCAGCTGAGGGCGCTGCTCATACGGGAAGAGTAGCCACAAGTCTCGAATGGCTTTGGCCGAAAGTTCCCATATGACACCTCGGCCATGTAGCTGGCCTACTTGCCGGTCCGTTACTTAAAACGCTCTTGAATCTTTACCCTAACTTCCTGCCATCCTCTTGCAAATGCTTGCATCAAAGGGTCAATCTGTGTAGGCCATAACCGAAGCGACGCGATTCAAGCAGCTGCCACCAACTTCCAGCGCACCCCACCACGACTCCCTGAGCCGAAGTCGCGCACACACAGACACACAGACAATGTCCGCAAGCCATGACCACTCCTTCACTTAAGGTTTGCAGGCAAGCGTCCAGGCTTTGGTTCCCGGGAGTTGCGACAAGCGGCCAGCAAAGGCCTCAGCAAAACAAAGAACCTGCTTAGCTTGACCTCACGATGTTCGCAAACGATGTGCCCTGCGGATTGGCCGCCATGCATCGAGGGGCAAGGCTAGACAGCCAAGTGGCATGCTTGCAGTAAATGTCAGCCTCGCCTGTAAAGACAAAGAAGCCTGACTCCAAAGCAGTTAATTCATACAGTCCGCGCAGACAGCATGCCTCGCAATTCTCACAGTACACCAAGAACGACTGGCACTCTTGCACGCAGAACGAGCTGCATGAATCTCCCACGTCGCCCTCTTTGCAGATTTTGGCTTCTGCCTGACTCAAGCAATCTAGCACAGCAGGCCGACCACAGCCACAGCAACTCCAACCAAATATCTGGATGTTGTGCAGAGCCGCCCTATCGTCTGAACCAGGCTACCTTAATCAGTTGGATTTTCGCGTGAGTGAGGAGGGCATATCTGAACTCGTCCGTCAAGTTCACGAAGAGCTTGACATAGGCTTTGGCATAGTATCCTGGGAAGCTGGGAAGCTAGAAACCTGATGTCCTCTCCCCACGAAGCAGATGTAAGCGGGGCCCGGGCTCGTGAGCCAGGCCCTTAGGAAGCCCGTGGCGGCCTTGTAGGCCGTGTCTTTCATCTTCCCAAAGTCAGCGGAGTACCTGAAAGACAGCGGCGAGTGCGAGTGATAGTGAGATATGGTGAGATATAGTGAGATCTAGTGAGATCTAGTGAGATCTAGTGAGATAGTGGTCTGCCGGCTCTCCAAGCCTGGTGAAGAGAATTTCTAGGATGTCTGCCGACACGAAGAGGAAGCCCCTCTTGGGCTCCGAGCCTCATTGAGCGATATCGATTTCTGTTCAAGAACAGGGCATGAATATGGCGACGACTCGACGACATCATGGATGTCTGGGCAGAGGACGCAAGCGCACCGTGAACGGACCTCGAGACATGAGCACAATGCGCCCATTCTTGTTCATAGACTGCGGGCATGAGTCTGTAAAGGCCTGAGAGCTGGGGCTCGAGCTGACCGAAGTTATGCCCAGCGCAACTTCCTTGAATCCCGTGGGCTCTGTTGGACAGGTGTGGCTCAGCTCGACACTCATCCAAGAAATCTGCCTGCCCTGCTGTGCAAGGAAGCACGTAGGCCTGAATCGGGGCTGCCAACCAATGATGGTCCCGCAACAGCTGGTGAGAAGGGAGCAAGGCCAGCGAGACCCAAAGCACTGGCAGGATCGCGAATCTACTTCCAGCCCATAGCCTCTGCATCATGTCCCAGCGGGATGTTGTTGTACAAGACTTCCTGTTCTGAATTTGACATAGCAGTCGCCACTTTCAAAGGCAAGGCACGCAGAAGGCCAAGGCAATGCCAGATATGAAATGATATGAAAAACTCACTGTCATTGAGCTGCGCTTATGCAGCTCTGTCTCGAAGACATGGCTGTCGCTGTGGTGCGTCAGGAGCATTCCAGGCAGCGTCTCCGGCACACGGCCCTGGACCAGCAGGACCCGAGCCCTGGTCCAGGGAGCTTCGGCGTGAGAAGCACAGCCCGTGTGGAGTGTAGACATGTGTAGAGCACGCACAAAGTTTATGCCGTTCCTGGCCTGGGTCTCATAAGGCTGCTTTCGAACATCTCGCGGGCATATTCTGTCTTGACTTCACGCTGACCTCGGCTTGATGACGTTCCGCTGCCGCCAGCATAGCTGCGCAGCAAGGCTACTGACCTACTTGCTTGCTCTTCAGCCCCTCGTGTCGCATATGTGTACCCTGCGTACCCGCCGCACCCGCACACCCGGCCGTTGCTCGCTGTCCGAGCCGTGGGCCGACAGTCTTGACCTGGAAGGGCTTCATGTTCAGCGCTATCTCAGTTCGAAACCTCGGCTTCAGAACAAGCGATCATCAGCTGAGGAAGACATCCCGGGCCATCCCGCAAGTCTAAGCCTCTAAGCGCCGCAGCTCCGCCGAGCCGCTCCTGCGAAGTGCCCTCGAAGAGGGGATGCTTCAATGCGATGGCTGTGGAAAGGTCATCCGGCTCGGGCGACTCCTCCTGCAGAGAGATCCCTAAGCTTCGGATACACCGATGTCGATATGGGGCCGAGAGTGATGCAGCTTCGCAAATCCCAGACAGACAGTCCCTGGCTGTTGTGGAGCTCGGCTCTTTGCCATGGATGTCCGGCAAGTTCTGCAGCTGATTTGATCAACTCACTCTCAGATACGCTTAATCCTGAAACTCTGCCACGTGGCAGACTTCTGGCCGTTGGACTTGCTGCTGCCCAGCTTATGTGTCTGACTCCTGCACAGCCACACAGAGCCGGGACGAGCATTTGGCAGCAGCAGCCGACGGCCTCTCCAGAGTCTTCGGCGATTGCAGGTCAGACCTGTGAAAGCTGCTTTAGAGAACGTACACGCGGGCGGGCGCACACACACACACAAAGGTCGAACAAAACTTCTGCCGAAAGGCTTCTCATCCCGAGGCGGTGGGACCTGAAATTATGCAGATGCAAGTTCACATTTTAGTTTGCATACATGGCTCAACTCTTTCTCTCGACGCTCTCCACACGTATCCAAATGACTTCTCGTCATGAAAAGGGTCTACACCAAGGGACGGTGGTTGACCGCGTGATTTTCTTGGCCATGGAGAAGAACTACAAGGCCCAGGCATCGATGTACACCCGTACTAACAGTTGGAAAGAGTACTCTTCGACGGGCACAAGCCCTTTGCAACATGGTGAGTGTGCTGTCGAGAGTCTCCGAGTGCAGTTCTAGCTGCACCTGCCGATGGCCACCGAACAGTGCCGTCACTACAATTTCCATCGAGACTTGCATACCAAAAACTACAGCAGGTTGGCTAATCATGTTTGTGCTTGCTCGCATGCTTTCGTAGCGCAATGCGCTTGAACCTGAAGGCAACTCCGAGATCATGCCTGAATTCATAATTCTGCAGCACCTGGCAGAGATAAAAAAAAATATATATATATATATAGAACCAGGTTCTTGCTCTGGAACACAGTGCAAAGACATGCCTTGCGTTTGAACAACATCGACTGACAACCGCGTGCACAGAGCTGTGGCTGCCTTCAGATCAGCTTGAAACTTGCTGAACTTCTCCGGAAACTTCTTGTCCTGACCATCTTGAGAATCCGTGGTGTGTCGACTGCCTCGCTCCACTTCCGAAAAGCCTCGGTGTGACGCTGCCCGGTGATTTGAGTCACAATTTGCTTGGCATCGCCAGACCTGAACGGCAAGAGCTCCCCACGAAGCCTGGACAAAGCTGCGTGTGCACCACGACAGATGAGCCTCCAGCCAGCCCATGAGGATTGCTAGGGCATCCTCAGCCCGCAAGGACATGGCTTGCATTTTGCAAAAAACGTTGGCTGTGGCGGCGACCAGCACGTTTTGAGCCGGTGCCGGAGTGTCAAAGTACTCGGAGATCCAATAATTGAACCTCTGTAACAGCACAGCTCCAGAGAAGCTCTTGTGTAGTGTCCAACATAGGTTGCAGGCTCATCAAACTTCGACAGCTCTTTCAGGTGCACCTGCTTCCCACGCCGCGCAAGACTCACTCTCTGGCCTTGCTCAAGCCTTCGGATCTGCGCCTGAGCGAAGGATTCACAAAACACGGCGACTTCATCACGACCCAAAACGTGTTGGGCCTTCCCAGCGAAGGCTCTCCTGGATCAGAACAGAAGGGACGGGAAACAGCCTACTACAGTACAGAAGGTCGGGCTCGGCATCCTGCCGACGAGAGAACTCTGAACCCTCCCATCACAGCATTGCATGGCTCTGAAGAGCGTCCTTCATGGCGAGCAGGTCAGTCGCCATGGCAACGGCATAAGGAAATCAGCTTGGCTTTGTATGGTGAGTGTGAGGAAGTGCTCTGGCTCCGTGTTCATATTGTCAGCTCAGCGATTACATCCTTCGTTCGATGGTGGTCGGGGGTGCCGAAGCTCCGATCTGTTTGTCTACCCTCTGAGACGAATCTCACATGACTCACATGGATCAGCTCTTTGAGAGGCCAAGGCGGGGGTGAGGCGGGAACGAGCTTGGGAAAAGAGCCGGCTCCGCCCAAGTCCCCATGTCGAGAACGCGAAGGAACGCGCCACGGCCAATCCGAGGCCGCACCTCACCGGGCAAGCCCAGGGCAAGAAGCGGGCAGCACAGCTCTTCGCGGGCGGCCTTCTGGTCTGAGCTGAAGACTTCGCCCACTTGCATCGGGGGTGCCGCGGCCTTTGGCAACCCGATGCGGTGCGGCTACCGGCCCTTGCTGTGCTGCTTACCTTCTTGGCCACGTTTGGCGCTGCCAGATGCACAAGCTCCCTTGTACAAACCTGCCATGCAGGCCATGCGCGTTTACCCTGGCAACCGGCTGGCACAGGCTTGCACATGCCAAGCCTCAAATCTCCAGAGGCCGTGTTGCACTTCAACCTCGACCATGCGCACCTGAACAGAGGCAAGCCGGGAGCCCGCTCGAGGGCCACCTCGGAAACCGAGCCTTTCTGTCCTTGGGCGAAATGTCGAACAGCCATCCCCCCTCAAGGCAGAGGCTGTGCAAAGCCTTTGGCTCACCGTCCATCCGATGCCTCCGCCAAACGCAGCCACTTCGTCCAGCCCGACCTGCGTGGCACGCAGATCCCAGACGCCGGTGAGGAACTTGGACCCTACCATTCAGGCCTCAGCCTCTCGTGGACTTCAACGACTGCGCCAGCTGGGTAGCGCTTGGCGCTGGACTCCTTGCTGGTGCCTTGGGCCGACCGGCGGCAAAAGTAGAAGCTCTTGCTGCGGACAAGTTCGAAAGATAAATTCGAAAAAAGCGGCACAATGATTCAGATAAAAAAGAAGACTTGGGAAACAACGAATGACAATTCGGAAAACCCTGCTAACGCGATTCAGGACAGCAAGCCATAAATAGCTCAGAATACAGCCAAGGAAGCAAAGACAAAGAATGAGGCGTACACCATCTGGTTTTCCGAATTGGCCCCAATTGTTTTGCGGAGCTGGTTTTCTGCGGATTGATTCGGAGCCATTCACTCTCTCTCTCTCTCTCTCTCTCTGGCTTTCCCTCTCGGGCCTATCTGACTCTCTGGGATCCTGGCTGTACACCGGCTCCTGACACAAGGTCTGCGATGTAAGAAACTGCTGCCGCACACTGGGATACATTGGTGGAGTGCGTGTGGGGGCAGTAGTCTTGCACGACATAGGTACCACCTCGACTAACTGCGAAGCGTCCTGCCGTGGCCGGATACCAGAAAGGTCCGTCACCAAATAGCTCCAGATCCCGGTCTCCTGGCACTCTCCAACAGACTTGCCAGGACAAGACACCACAAAAGCATCTAGACTTCCCTGCAAGCTGTCTTGACTACGGATGGCCTTGGAGTCTGTCGCCGCCTTTCCCACCCTCAAAGAGACTTATTGCAAGAATAGGTCCTGGCTTCCGCTTTGGCTCCACAAATGCAGCTGTGGCACGGTGGTTCGGTGAGGCCAGGAAGTCCCGGTTTGTGCCTTCCGACTCCGACACACGCACTTGCTGCAACTACACAGCGAGCAACTTAAACCTAAATCAAGCATCTCAGGCACGAACAAGCGGTCGAGGCCGGAAAGGGCCTTCTCAGACCCAGGCTAAACATGCAAACACGCACGTGATTCCTTCCTACATCAGACCAGCTCTTGTCTTGGTTTCCATGAGGTGGAATGGCATAAGGGCTTGTGTCGGAGTCAAGGATTAGGACCGTGGGCACTTGCGATACAGTGCGATCCTGAAGGACTGCACCTCGTACGCAGCAGGTATGCACAAGTTTCAGCAGATCCGGCGAGACGGTTCTCGGGCCAGGCAGAAAGTCACCAGAAACGGTTGGTGCCATCGAATCCTAAACAAACCTGGTGCAGTGGCTAGCATGTCGGTGGTGGGGCCCAGGCCGGCCTTCTTGAGCATGGAGCCATCCACACGTTCAAGCTCACCAACAGGCGGACTTCGTCATTCGCATCACGAGCTGGCAGTCTTGCAGCATTGACACCTTTCTGAAGGTGCTATATAGGAAGGCAAAAACTCTACATCAAAGGTTCTGTCGATGTTGCCACGAATCCAACGTGAGCTGCTACAGATTGACAGAAAAAGTCAATGCTTGAGCGTGGATCTGGAAACGGCTGAGCCGAGGTGTTGGCCCGCTGCTCCCATGCATGCGAACAGCCGGCGGTGCAACAAAGCTCAGAATTTCCTAGCCAGCACGGCCTCATTTGCGTGTGTATGCGAGGTCACACTTTGGTGGGTTCACAGGTGGGGCACTGCAATCTGCTCTTGCAGAGCTATTGGTATTTGTAGTCTAGAGTCTAGGGCATGGACACAATTTCAACAGAGCAGGAAAATCATGAAACGGTACATCTTTCTACGATTCTTCACTCTCTCTGTACAAGTGGGCGGGCAACACGGGACCCCTGGGCGTGGAATGTGGGGTTTTGCCTTGAAATGGCCCTGAAGTCTTGCAAGAGAGGCCCTCCAGTCTGTCCACGTCACTCAGCAAGGACCAGTCTGACGGAGTGTCTGGACGCCGAGTCCGGGCCGAAGGACCTACTTGTGCCAGCTCCAGGACAAGCCGCTCGTACTCCTTGCGAACAGCCTCCTGGGCAGCCTGGCCCACGGAATGTTTGTGTTTGGCCTCCAAATCTTCAACTCGGTTGCTGAGCTCCTGCGTTGCGGACATGGACGCAGCCTTGCAAAGCTGCCTTTGCAGCTCGGCGAACTGCGTTTGGAAGCTGCGGATGAGGTTTCCGTGCGAAGCCACGTCGCGAGAAAGCTGATGCTCGGTAGCTTCGAGGTGGCAACGGGTCGCAAGGATACGAGCTTCCTGCTCCTGGCCAAGCGAATCCCCTCGAAATCTACAGAAGATCCCATGCCCAATCCACTCCTTTCGGCCTTAATTACGTGCAAGACTGGACGCGACTCTCCTCGAGACGTCGGGCGATGTCTCCGGGATGAAGGCCGTCGAAGCGCTGCGCCAGTCGCTCCAAAGCCCGGCTCAGCTCTTCCACGCGGTTCTCGAGACCGTCCAGCCTGGAGGAAGGCTGTCTCTCAGTCTCTCCGCTCGTTTTTTTTTGACAGAGAGCTGCTGCTAGTTGGGCCATGGCGCCGGCCGAGCATCTCGTTGAAGACCTCGGGCACGGAAGCCTCGCAGCGCCAAGCAGTGCTCTTTGGCCGAACGGCGCCGGCGCAGGAGTTGCCCGCATTCGAGCCGAAGCCGCCGAAGCCGCCGAAGCCGCCGAAACCTCCTGCACTCGGCACGGGGACGGAGCTCGCAGAGGCTTTGGAGCTCACGGAAGCGGCATTTTGCCAGCTTTCGATGATGTTGGCGACGTGGCCGACTTTGGTTGGGCTGGAATTACCTTGAGGGGCCGGATCTGCATACGACACATCGGCACGTGCCACAGGGACCTGTCCATGTCCATCGATGACCTCCATCGCTTCGGGATTGAGCACAAATGGCAATCTGGCTACCACACCTGGTGACAACACACAGGACCGAGAAGTCGGGACTTCCAGACCCTGGGCTCGTTATGTGGGTGCAGCTTGTTTGGAAACACCAGGATGGCATGCACTATGCAGCACGCGTGAACCTAAAATTCAATAGTTGGGCCCCTGGGCTCATGAGTGAGTGATCTTCCTGAAGGCCACAGCACAGTGCAAACCCTTGGACTGCGGAGGGCACTGCTTCCAGTGCTTCATGTTGCTGAAGACTTGCGCCGGTGGCAGCCTTGGCCACACAGCGCAGGCGTGGCACCACCAAGCCAAGGCATATTCGTCTGTCGTTCAATCTGCTCATGCGACGGTGGGCTCATCTTCTAGTTCTGTGTCTCAGAGGAAGGGTGAGATTGGGGAGTTTGAAAGTTTGAGAATGTTGGAGAAAGAAGAGATTGAAGCTTGCAAGTTTGCTACAGCGTCAGCACCCTAAATTTCGAGTTTGAAAGCAGGTACGAGTTCTTAGGTTCAAGGTGCGCGAGGTTGAAAGATTGACAGTTCGAACGATCCTCGAAGGGTGAAAGGATTGAATTCATCACACTTCGAAAGTTTGACAAGCGCGAAGTTTTTCAGCACGAATACTTCTGACGCGACCACTACAAAACGAACACAGGGGCATCAAGAAGTTTGAGAGTTCGAGCACTTCAAAGCTTCAGAAGTTGAAAGTCCGGATCTTAACCTTCGTAAGATTGAGAGAATGAATTTGAAAGCCCGCAGTTTGAGGCGCTTAGAGGGCGGATGTCGAGAGCACGAGAATTAGGGTTTAGAGTTAAGGGTGTCAAAATAACCTAAACACTCAACGACATGCTGCTGAAAGCAAGGTCTTAAGTACCCTGATTCCAATGAAGTGGCAAGTTTTAAGTCATGCGATTATCTCGCCTAACAAGGGGCGAGTTTAAGATGTAGGATCAACCGCCATCGCCCGATGAGGGGGGGTCTAAGATATGGAAGGACATGAGATCAACTGCCCTCGCCTCTTGAGGGGCCGGGTTTCCCTCGCCGAATGACGGGGCGGCTATGAGAAATGAATTCAACAGCCATCGCCCTCCAACATCCAACGAGGAGTCAGGTTAGCTTAATCGCCATCGCCTACTGATGTTTAAGATATGGAGCCGTCTGCGGCCGGTTTCAACTTTGATTCTCGTGCCTGCGAACTTTGTGCTCAGACTTTCAAAATCGGAACTCGGCGGACCGTCGGATTTAGGATCTGAGCTGGTCCCTCTTGCTACTACTATATACTACTACTATACTACTACTACTACCAAAATTGCTAAGCTACTACTATATTCATTAGGGTCATTACAGGATGTGGTCTAGAAAATTTTGATATCCGGGTTGAAAGGTGGTCAATGGTTGACATCAACCACTAACACAGCCATGCAGCAAACTCCATACCGTAATCACGAAACCCTCAATGTTACAACCCTAAACCTCCAAACTACACACCCTAAACCCGAAATCCCCATTTAAAAAACAAACCGTAAGCTAAACTAGGCCCGAGACCTCGAAACTCAGAAGCCTCAAAACCCAAAACCTCAAAACCCTAAACTTAACCAGGAGAAACTAAACCCCGCCCTCTCAAGCTTTCAAACTCGGGCCTCGGCGGACCGTCGAGCCTTCTAACTCGATGCCGTTGAAACGTACGTTTTCAACTTCCAAACCATCGAAGTCTCAAACTCTGGAACTTTCGTGCCGTTCAAAATGTCAAACTCTGAACGCTTCAGACTTTCGAACCTCCAGTTTCTCAAGCCTTATATCTTTGGAACTGTCTGTCCCCCTCTCGCTTTCTGCTCCCTTCTTTCCAGAGGTGCTTTGTGCTTCTGCAATGAACGAACCAAACCCTAAACCCTAAACTCCCAAACCCCTAAACCCTAAACCCTGACGCAATGGCGGCTCCTTATGCTCGGGCTTGGCAAACGACACCACAGTGAAAACGACACGACAGTAGATTGAATCAGACCAGTGACATTGATGCCCAAACAAAATGACTGTATTTGCGCCGTCGGGCCGTCGTAGATCTACGGCAACTTTGCTTGGCCTGGTCGCCCGGTCGCCCCTGTGGTTTGTCTCTGCAACTGCCTTCCTGATCCCTGCTGTGTGGCATTGTTGTCGGTCTACAAGGCTCTCGTAGGGAACCGTGTCATGTGGCCTCCGTCCAGCCTTTCGCCGCAGAAGGTGACACCCCAATCAGGCTAGTCCTTTCCAATTTCTAGCCGGTGGGTGTCCTTCGCTCTAGCTCGAGCTCTCGATGTCTGGAAGCTGCGAAAGCTGCCTCCTGCCTGACTCTGTGCCGCGGCATCTGGGGTGCGCGTGTGTAGTCTCAATGTCGAAAAAACACAAGCACCACACTACTCTTTTACTGTTCTTCCACGCCGGGTCTGTGGGTTTTACGAGTGCGACTATGCGTGTGAAGCTGCCCCCACCGCAATGCTAGCAGCAAGTCCCAATGCTTGGTCAGTCTCCCCCTCCCTGTCGCTTCTCGAAGACGAAGGTCGGATGATGCAGCTGCCACAAACGAGCTATCACAACGACAGCATCTTGGCTTCGTGCGGTCCGATCGCTCCGGGTGTCGATGCCGGGCTCGAAACCGATGACGCCCAGCCCCGCGCTGCTTCTGGACCGTCGGATCTGGCTGCGGATTCTGTCGCTGCCGCACACAGCAGAACGATGCAGCGGGGAGCTGACGGAACTGTCGTCTTTGGGGAAGCTGGAGCCGCTGCGGAGAGGAAGACCTCGCCGCCGTCTCCGTTTTGCGAAGGCAAATTTTGCTGCCGGAGGCCTGTTGCGCGCTTTGCTCCCTGTAGAAGAGAAGAACATCATTCCTCTGCAGCAAGGCGGGCCCCTACTGCGGTCAAGACGGACGGCGGGCCTCATCGATCTGCTTTGCTCAGCCTGATCGGAAAACACGCGGGAGTCCAAGCCAAGGCTTCTAAGGCTAAGGAGCAGGCTTTGCCCTTGTTGGGTTGGTGTTTGGACTGGGCACGTTTCCTTGGCTCTCTGTGAATGACACACGTCGGTTCTGCTTGTTTTTCAGCCGAGCGGCACGAACTCGTCTTCCAAGTCCTGGAGCTGCTGTCAGGACACGAGTCTCGTTTGTGCTGCCCCCTTCTCCTTGGCAATCTGCCCGGTTACCGGCTGTGAGGAAGCCTGAGGAGACGTGGAGACGCTGTGGAGAAGTCCACCCCTGCTTGCACTCGAAGACTGGAGCCAGGGCATGCAATGCAAACGAACGCTAAGGCTTCGAAGAGATCCGGGCTTCGAAGCCAGGCTGTTGGGGACCTGAACCTACCTGCACCTACAGTTTGTTCGAGATGAAGCAGAGAGATGATGGGGGCTCCGCTGCATCAATGAAGATCCAAACTAGCCAGTCGCAGGGAGCCTGGCAAGGACGCTTGCTTTAGCGAAGGCGAGCGAGGGAAGCGGGACCTGGTCGTGGAAGGCCAAGAGGAACTCCGCGAGCTTCGGGAGCCTTGCCAGGCTGCGGAGTGCGGACAAAGGGATGCTGCGATTTTGGCGGTGCCTGGAGGACCTGAAAGTTTTGCCGATGAAGCCCAGCTTCGAGAAGGCGATCATCACCCACTCGTTGCCGGCCGCCTTCCTGCGCAAAGCAAAAGCGAAAGCGCAGACAAGTTCGCCACTCGTCATCGGCGCTCAGGCTCGGGCTCTCTCATGTAACGACGTACTGTCGGCAAAAAGCTCGGAACAACCTGGCAAATGCTCTCCTTTCCGCGTTCCTCGCGCATGCAGGCAAAAACTTAGCAGTGAATGGTTTGTCTCGATGGCCTGGACGTCGTCTTCGAGCTGCATGTAGTACTCCGACAGGCCAGCTGCATACCTCAAGAAACCCTGAGCCTCCGCTCAACCCCGGGTTGGTTGAGGCGTGGGGACCTCTTGTTTCTTGCACAAGGGCACCACATCAAGTAAGCGTAGTCCATGTTCTGCTTGGCTCTCCTTTTGCGCAAAAAAATCTCAGACGGACATCTCGCGGACTCTCTTGAAAGCTCGGGGAGGCACCACCACTGCCTATGCGGCGGATCACCGAACTTTGTGCTCTTCTGGACCTGGCAAATGCCCGGTCCATCCGTCTCTGTGGAGGAGGGTCTGACTTCTGAAAAAATGTTGGTTCCGGGGGTGGTTCCCGGCAAAGCTGGGTCTGATCCTGGGCATTCTGGGGGGTCGCCAGGGCGGCGGGCTCTCGTAACGCAGCGGGCCTCCTCCTTCGAGGGATACAGCTTCTCTGGGGCATGGATCACGTGTAAACGATTCGCCTCGCAGACACGAAGACGCCGCCGCAGTGGCTGCGCCGGTTTCAAGTGGGGCCTGGCCTGCACCTCGTCGTCGAAGCCAGAGCGGAGCCACTCGTGAGATTTGCTGACCTGGTGATGGTGCAAGAGGCGTCTGTTACCTTCAACTTCCTAGGAACATGAATGTTTGAGACGAGTGTTCAAGCTCATTCGGATGATATCAACTTCATCATACATCCATGTTCTCTACGTTCTGGGCGATGCCACCCAAGTTTCGTCGAAGTCTGCGAGGTGGACAACGATACCTGCCAAGCCACGTGGCGAAAGTGCCCCTCATCTGATTCCGTGCAGTGCAGAAGCTCCGAACCCAACCTGTGTCCGTCGCGGCCCCCATGGCGTCAAAAAGGTGAGACAAAGTGAGACCCAGGTATTCCTCAGATTGCGAATAGATCGGATCATGCAAGGCCCACCGACACGAAGACCCCCAACAATAAAGTGTGCCCACAACTTGGCTTCGTCATCTGCTGCGAATTCGTCTCCGATGATGTCTCAGACTTCTCTGTGCATGTCTGAGGGTTCCGATATCAACATGCCGCATCCATGCTGGGGATGATGATTCTTTCCTGATGACCGACTCGAAAGGATCTGAAGATATCTAAAGTCTAAAGTCACTGTGCCGTTTCGGTACATGCTTTCGGGACTAGCCAGGACAGAAAAGTCGAGGGGCAGCCTTCCTCTGTACCGAGGATACACCGATGAAGAGCCATCGCGGTGTCTGTCGGGCCCGCTGCTCCAGGTCCTCGGCAATCCAGGCATCTTGCCCATCTCTAAAACAAGCATGGTGATGCAGGTCGAGTCCTTGTCAGGAAGCAGGCGGAGGGAGCTGCGGTCCAGGCTGTGCAGGCAAGACCAGGCCTGTGAGGAAAACGAGTTCAAGGGTGCAAGGCTCGAAACTCGACAGGTGTCCCGTCGAAGTACGCTCTTCCCCTTCCGGGCCTCGAGAACCGGGCCTTCGGCGAGCTGCTTCAGTCGCCGAGGTCCTTCCTGGTCAAAGGTCAAAGGCTTCTGACACTACCTTGCTCAGAAGCCCGAGAAGATCTGCAATGGCCTGGTATAACTGGTCGGACAAATTGCATCCGTGCCAATGCAGGAGGGGTGATAAGAGGACCTCAACACTCACACATCAAGCCAAAGCAGAGCGGAGTTCACACCGAGATAACACCATCTTGACGAGCTGCAATGCAAAAGTTCAAAACAATGATCGCCAGCGCGGCGACAGCGAATGGGAGAACCAGGTCGCATTGCACACTGCCCGTTGCATGGGCTGCCTCGGCTTAGTGCGAGCAGATCAACAGCAGCACCGATAGTCGAAACCTGTTGAAGCCGGCTTGCTGCAAGGCGGTGACGGCCGTGCATTTATCCACTCCATCCCCGTTGGTAGCTACACGACACATGCGTAAGCTAGCAAACCCCATGCCACACCTGGGAAATGAACAGCCGTCAGTTGTAGAGCGATTGGAATACACAACCTTCGACAATCCACACGATAGACTAGGCGCTTATTTAAAACGGTCTGAGCCGTGGCAAGAACGCATAAGCTGGCACAGAGCTGCGAACTAAGACAGAGGAGTCTTCTCACATCTGCGAGGCGGGCAGAAGCATCACGTGTTTTTTACCCTGCATTCTTTGATGGATCGGCATTTGGGCGGATGGCCTGACGCACAAGTTCTCAGCATGACAGCGGACGAGGGCGGAGTCTTAAAGTACTGCCACATAACACACGGAACCAAAGAGGACAGACTCATGCCGCTCTCAAAACTCGCAAGCACACGCTGACGCCCAAGCTTCCCCGTGCTGTACATGCCACAAAGGCTTGTGGCTACCAACGCCGGACTCTCCAAGCGATACATCTTATGGCACCGTACCTCTCACGTGTAAGCTAAGGCCCTAGCGAGATAGAGTGATGAACTATCAAGAAAGGGAGAGAGATAGAGAGAGAGCGAGAGAGAGAGAGAGAGAGACAGAGCGAGCGAGCGAGCGAGAACGAGAGCGACAGCAAGAGCGAGAGCGAGAGAGCGAGAGAGAGGGAGAGAGGGAGGGAAAGACGTCCGGCACTGGGTACCGCCTCAAAGCCAGTAATTGAATGGCACCTTTCTCCTCCATGCAGTTTGAAGAATCTACCCATTCTGCGAGGCCGTCAACACGAATGGTTGCACGGCCTCCTCCAACTCGCTGCCGGTAGTTTGCTACAGACCCTGACTCGTTTCGAGCCCGTCCTGCAGTCTGACACTCCCAGCCTTCCGGCGGCAGCAAAAAGAGACGCGGCAACTGTCCAGTCTTTTGCCAATTCACAAGCGTTGACTGCGCTGACATACGTTTTCGCAGTGGGCAACACCCGCTGCCATTCCATGTCAGCCATACTCCCAAGAATACACCTCCACGCACCAGAGTTCGAGCAAGTGGCTGCAATGCTGCTGTGCGTGATAATGCTTGGCACTAGCCCATCTGATCTCAGGGCTTCCAGAAAGCCAAGCGCCGCTGACCATCGCCCTCTTCGTGCGCAAGTGATGATCAGACTGTTGTAGCTAACGAGATTCGGTTCCAGCCACATGCGCATGGTCATAAACAGGCCAAGAGCAAGGAGCCACCGGCCATCATCCGCACATGCTCTGATGACGCTGTTGAAGCTGATAACATCAGGTTCGAGGCGCACAGATCCGGCTCCCACGGAGCTTTGCAAGAGCATCAAGGCAGCCTGAAGCCTCCTTGCCTTCTCACAGGTGCTGAGCGCGCTGTTCAAGCAGAACAAGTCAGCTTCGACCTTCTTCTCGAAGCTCGAGGCAAGAAGCTTCAGTCCCACCCTCCATTGTGCGGCTCTCTCACAAACGCTTATCATGCTGCTCTGGGTGATCACATCTGGCTGAAGGCCCAGCGCGATCATCCGGTCTTGAAGACCGATCGCAGCATTCCAATCTCCACCGACATGGCAAACGCCGATGGCACTGTTGAACGTGAACGTGTCGTAAAGCTGCAAAGCCTGCGCTCCTCGAAGCAGTTCCAAAGCAGCCGCTTCCTGTCCATCTTCTTGGCAAGCTCTGATTGCCAAGCTGAAACTGAACATGTCTGGAAGCAATCTGTGTCGATCTAGTCCAGAAACCAGGCTTGTGGCAACACGCCACTGTCCACCCCCCTCAATGGAGGCAAGGATGCTGTTGAAGCTGACCGTGTTCAGCTGATGAGTCTGCTCTACCAGGGTGGTGAGAAGACCTGCCGCGACAAACCAGTTCGAACACACAGAACTCAAAGTCATGGCATCCAGAGGCAATCGGCAGATTTTCATTTGCTGAACTAGGATCAAGCACGATGTCCAGACAGGTAGAGCTTTCAATGCAGTGTTGTAACTGATGGCATTGGCAGAGACGTGCATGGTGCGGAGGAGGTGCAGAGAGTGTGACCACGAAGCTCCCGGACCTGCTGCATCGAAAGCAGCTGTGTAGCTAATCGGCGTTGGCCTGAGTGCAGCCTTCCGGGTACAGCGCATCAAATAGTGGATAGCCGAAGACCAGGCACATCCCTCTACTGTCGCATTGTAGCTGACAATGTCGGGGCTCAGCTGATTTATAGCTGCACATGCAAGGAGACCCACGGCCATGGACCACTCGCTTGAGTGGCCGCAAACGCTAGTCGCGCTGTTGTAGCTAAGGAGGTGTGACTGCACCGCATTCAGAGACATGACTACCAGCAAGGCTCTGGCGACTTCCCACTGGCGTGTGCTCTCGCACGCGTTGATTGCACTTGTCAGGCTGAACACATCAGGCACGACCTGCTTGGAACACATGGAAGCGAGCAGTACCACCGACATTAGCCATGCGTGTCCCCGGCCGCAAATGCTGACGCTGGCATTGAAGTTGACCACGTCTAGACGCAAGTGCAAGTGTTTCATCTCGCCCAGCAGACTTGCTGCGAGAAGCCAGCCCTTCTCGCAGGCGCTGATCGCTGCGCCATAAAGGATCGCCTCGGCTGCGATACCGTCTAAGATCTCACAACCGTGCCATCCTTTAAACAGCTGATCTACCACCGAGCAGCATCTGCCGTCACGAACAACTCATCCATGATGGCCATGAGCCGCAGGGCGAAGTCCCAGCGACTGACTAGGCTACATGCCTTGACAGTGCTGGTGAAGCTGATCACATCCAGTCGCATCCTGGAGTTTTCCATGCTCCTCAGAAGACGTATCGTCTCGATCCACTTGCTCATGCGTGCTTGACCAGCAATTGCCTTGTTGTAGCTGACCACATCTGCATGCCTTGCTGCCACAGGTTCAGGAACAGGCTGGAGTGACGGTCGTGGCATACGGCCACGCTCCCTGTCTATGCCTGAGAAGGTTCGTGCTCTGGTGAAACAGCTGCGGAGCCGGGCACCTTGGCAAAAACCACATCTAGTCGGTTCCATCGCCTTCTTCGAAGCATCTGGAGCTTTGGGTTGGCAGGTCCCAGGAGCTGGAGGTTGGCCGAAGCAAACTTTGTCGGTGCAGCTGTGGCTCCTTCACTTCATTGCTCCTGCTTCTGACCTCCCGTATCCAACACCTCCATTAACTGCTGCTTGTCCCGAGAAGCTCCAAAAATGGGGTGTTGACAGTGCTGCGCGAAGCGTCATACCGTTGAAACCGGCCTGTCTGGCTACCTACGGCTCCACTTAGACATAGGTGCACACAACGTTAGTCAGTGACTGGTACACTGATTGCAGTTGAGTCTGCTCGTCATTGCAACTTTGGGGGTTTCGTCAGGCAAGCGCAAAGGGCCTGGGCCACCGTGAGGAGTCGCCGCAGGGCAACCACGTGACGCCGCACCTTGCGATCTCAAGTCAAGTGGCAGATACCTGTTGCTCCATGGGCCAATACGGGTTTGAACAAGGAAAACTGCCCGGAGCACAACTCCGGCCGAGTGTCGAGGATACAAAGCAGCTTCGCGCCAACACAGCGACTCGAACTTCGTCTTGCTCAGGTTCCAGGCTGCTACAAGTAGCAATGGGCATGGCAGTAGTGACAGTTTGCGTGAGTTTCCGGGACCTGTAAGAGAGGTCGCTGCACCCAATTGCCCCAGCACAGTGTGTGTGAGCATTGTTGTGCCTGAAGCTTCGTCTTTTTATGGCTTACTCAAGTGCGAGTTGTCACACTCTGCAACTGCTCCGATGCGGCTTCCCAAAGAAGCTGCCTCCTCGTCATCCATTGCGTTGGATTTCGCTTTGGCCGCATTGAGTCGCTGGGCAGTGCGCGCCTGGAGGACAAGTCAGGGCAAGTATCCGGAAGGGCCCTCAGGAAGAGGAAGGGCCTTTCGCTGAAGCGAAAGGCATGATTCCCAGGCACTCGGGCATAGGATCGGTGCTTAGCAGCTTCGCACAGGATGATCCGCGTTTGGGATTTAGAGTTTCCAGCGTCCAAAGTGTGAGGTCCACGTACGGATCAACGCGATGTGCCCTTGGGCGAAGCGAGGCCCGGGCCTGCTTCCACCTCAGCAAACCGCAGCACTACGGGCTCCAGGCCCCTAGGAAGTGAGCAGTCCAGTTTGGATTGTGCCCCCTCGGGGGCCCACATGCGCCCGCGCTCGATGCCAGTCAGGCCATCCATGCCTCCCTCCATCAGAGTCGGAACCTTCACAGGAGAGGCACAGATCTGTTTCCAAGAGACCGGCCCGGCCGACAACTCTCCTGCCTCAGTGTGCCAAGCTTTGTTCCCAATGGCGAGATCCATGTAGGCCTGGAGCTCGGGCGAGCAAAAAAAGGCTTCCAATGCGATCGAAGTGTGAAAGCCGAATCGTGGCCAGCCACTTGCAAGCGATCGCATCCCTTTTGCCGCGCTTTTCAAGCTTTACAGCAGACAAGCGATTCATGCGGCAGACCATCGCATGGTTTCAAGCTGGTGCAGTTGATCATCCAGCACTTCGGCATCACTGACCATGGACTGTGCCAGGCTTTGAAGCAACTGTCGGGTCAGTGCTTGCCGAAGTTTTTCAGCCGACTGCATGCGCGGGACAGGTGAAGAAGCAGCATGAAGTGACATGAAGTGACACACGCACCCCTGGACTTGCCTCCGGCTGTGCACGTGAGGGTGCTGCCTCGTTGGCCAGCTGCGCCCCGCTGAGCTCGGCCACCCGCCGCCGGCCCAGGGCCGCCCACACCTCACTCACCGCGGCGCACTCCAAGCACATGTGAAAGGACGAAGGCTTCGGCTGCCTCCTTGTCAAGATGTGCGGCACCACCGAACTCGGAGAGCTGCTGCTCACGGTCCTGGCCCAGATGCTGTGACGAGAGGGCTTTTCTCGCGTCACTCGTGGCTTTGCTGTTGTCTCTGCTGTTCGACAACAGGCCACACAAAAAACGCAAGCAAGCTCTTTTTGTGCTGCACGGGCCGAAGCAATGACATACTGACATACACAAAACTTACAAATCTTGGTTGCCATGAAAATCCGTAGTCTTTGAACTCAAGGCATACCATCGTGGGCCCTGTTCCGGCACCAGGTCTCTCCAGGACCAGAACGACCAAGCTATACTACCCTATCCACCCCCCTACACCTGTCGCTATCGCGCTTACATGTCTTGTTCCTTGGGTCTGATGTGGGTCTTGTGGGGTGCGCTGGCTGTCTCACTCAGAAGCACAGAGTGGCTCCACAAGCAGCCATCTCAGGCGGAGGTGAGGGAGATAAAGAGGTCATAACAAACAAGGATAACGTGCATCAGGAGGGACAGAAGTGGACTAGGGCTGACTAGGGCAACCATTCCTCACCCTACAACAAGTGGGGCAAAAGCACAAAACGAGAGGGATGGGAAACGGTGTGGTACAACTGCCCCCCTGACCCTCGTCGGGGTTGAAGGCACGAAGATCCCGCACTGCACAAACAAGCAATGCGCCGATGACGTCGCCCACAACATACTCGCAAGGAAAATGTACGGCGAGCATTGAAGTGTGACGGTGCAGCAAGCGACGAGCAGCAACATTCTTCTGCCCAACCCTTCGCCACGACGACATAGCAGCACTACAACTACTTCAAGACCCTGGGAGTTGGAAACGTTGAACCCCGCCAAACCCCAAACCTCGAAACCTCCCTGACCTCGCGAAACCCCTAAACCCTAAAATCCGGAAGCCCCAAAATCCAAAAGACCCGTCCCACAAAACAGATTACTTTCAGCCTGAACCCTTACACCCTCAACTCCGACAAATCCTAAATTCTGGCATTTTTAATTGACTCCTTACCTTGGAACTCCAATCATCCGACGAATATTTGTTATTTCAATCTGCCCTGAAACCCTAAACCCTAAACCCCTGTACACCCGGAACCCTAAGCCCCAAAATCTAAGCCGAAATCGCTCAACCCGGCAACGCCGTAATCCCTCACCCTAGACCCCGAACCAACCTCAGAGGTTCTCGACTCCTAAAGCCTGCAAAGCATGGAAGCGACGCGAACAGGCGGCAAAGAACCCAAACCCCACTACGACACCTTTGTGGCCGCTGTGCTCCCGTTTATGAGAATAGCTCCCGGAGTCCACCTTGGCACGCTTCTCGATCAGGCGATCCCGCTGCCGCCTCAGATGGTCAGCGCGCTGCTGGCGCTCTTCCTGCCAGCACTGTGAGCGGCAGAATGTCAGGTGAAGACGGAAGCTGCGCCTCTGAGGGGCCACAAAAGTCGCCTGCTGCACTCTTTGGTGACGAGGGAGGCGAAAACATTCTGCTTCTGGCTCCCCGCAACTGCTTTGGCAGAGGCTGCACTGCTTCAGAAGCACGGCGCTTCCATAGCTGCAGGTTGGTGCGGAAGGCCTGACGGACACATAGACTTCGGGCAGACTTTTTGTGAAGCTGAACGCAGGCATATGCGAGGCTCCGGGAACTGGTCACTCACGGACGGCCTGCACGGGAGGCAAAGTTCGCGAAGCGGTCGAGGCGGTCGCAGCTTTCTCGGCTTCCTCGGCCGGTGGCGGCGGTGGTTTTGGAGGCCCATCCTCCGCAGCTCCCACGGCTACTCGAGGCTTGGGTGGCACATTGCAAAGAGGTGATGAGGTGAAGCCGGCGCGGCCTGGCAACCTCGGGATCGCAGAGGGGACGTCGTTTGGGGGGCTTGGGGGGGCCGGTTCAAAGGTGGCTGGGGCCGGTGTGGCCATGCTTGGTGGTGGTGGTGGTATCTGCGGGCGTGACACAAGCGGGGCTGAGGTGAAACCCCACGGCTTCCTAGCCAGCTTCAGCGGCTCCGTTTGGAGAAGCCGAGCGGGAGCGGCAGCCCGGGGCGAAGTGGTGGTTTCAGGATCCAAGTGGCACAGGGGAGCCGATGTGAAGCCCGCCGCAGGCGGGGGCGGAGGTGGTGCAACTGGCACGTCCGGAATTTGCTCCTGCACAGCTCATCCGCTTTCACTTGCTTTCACTGGGCCTCCGTGAATGTGCCAAGCAAGGCCGCCTCGTTGGCTGTCATTTGCCTCAGCCTCTCCTCCTCGATGCTGAGGGAGAGTGCGATGGCCTCCCATAGAAGTGACACATCAGCCAGAGGCTCTGCTTCCGCGTGTGCCTTGCCTGCTGCAGTTCGGCCTCTTCGCGCTTGGCCTCGGCCTGCGACGAGGAGAGAGCAAGAAAGAGCTGCAACAGACGGCTCTGGCTGGTCAGCTGCGGGCTACCACATTGAGCGACAACAAAGCAGTTCAAGGCCTCACACGACTCGGACACTGGACAATCTTAGTTAAACACTTGGCAGCGCCCAGCACAGAGAGCAACTTGGGCGACCCTCCAGCCAGGTATCAGAACAGAATGGTGTGCACAAGACAGAAGAAGAGTGCTTGGGCTAGAGGTGAGAGTTCAGGGTTCACAACAGGGACCTCGGATCAGCATTTCCCCAGCCCGGAAACTGACACTAAACCCTGAACCCCAGATAGCCTAAACTGAGGCTCTAAATCTATAACCCTAAACGCCAACCGATACCCTCAACTTGACATCCAAAGCCAGGGTCCGGGACTCTGAGACCCTTGCACCTTCGTAGAGGCTATAATTGGGATGCAGCATGCCCCTCAACCTTACACCTAAACCCGAAAACAAAAGCACTAAACCCTAAACCCCTCAGTAAACCCCTAAACCCCAAACTAAACGCCCAAACCCTAAACTCCTAATGCCATAGAGCCCTAAACCCTAAACTCCGAATGGCACAGACCCCCAAGCCCCAAGCGAAGAAAGCAAGCCGTTCCAAAGACCTCGTCAACTTCTCTTCGGATCTTCAAGATCCGGTCTACTACCACTGAAACCTCACAGGTGCTTACCGGCCCGGCTCCCTCAGCCTCCAGGGCGGAGAAATCCACGGCATCGCTGACTCGCATTCAACGGCCACACAGAACTGCGAGCTGCAAAAAGCTTAGGCTCCCGAGCAAGAATCCGTGCCTTCGGCACCGAGCAGCGGGTCATCGTAGATTTGCCAGTCGTCTGCAGAAAGCAGGCCCTCATTGAGGCTGTTCTTCCTCGGGGGCGGCTCCGAACCACGGCCCGCAATCTCTCTATTGCATGTACCAATCCCTCTCAGCAGTTCTATCCTGTGCTACCACACATCATCCAACCACCGCCCGTGCCAATCTTTGAAAACCTCACTCTGTCCCTCGACAAATGCCTCCATTGACGACCACGGATCACTACAGCTCTGGCAAGGTGTGTGACACCTTCAGTCTCATCGCCCGCCACCACACGGCAGATCTCCGCATTGTGCTTTGACATCCTCAGATCTGGCTAACAACCCGGCAACCTGTGAGACAGACTTTGCCAGCTTGCGGCATTGCTTTGAATGTCAGGAAATCCTCCGCCGCCAGCAGCTGTTCGGCCAGAGCACGATGCCTCGTGAAGCGACAGGCAAATGGCGGTGCTGTCTAGTTGACGCATGCTGCTCTCAGCTTGCTCGCCATGCAACAGAGAGCGATTCTTTGTGAGGCCGGTCTCGCAGAAGCGATCAAACTGCTCTTCAGTGATCGACACCTGGAACAAAGAGCGCATGACATCGGCACCACAGAGTCCAAGCGAGATGCTTGGCACAGCCTCCATGAGATGGCAGAGGAGCAAGTTGGACACCAACTCCTTGAAATCGTTGTGGCATGTGGTGTGCTCCAGCATGGACTCCTCTGTCTCAGGAACCCTCTACAGGCCCTTGTCAACTCGCAAATCTACAACTGGTTTTTGCTCGCCTCGGCTTCGTCAAACAGGATGGCATTCTTGTCAATAAACTCCTTTCTCTCACGCTCAAGGATTTCAAGTTCGCAGCTCCGAGTCGCAGCTCCTGGATGGGAACCACCCAGGTCGGAGACTTCAGCACGGAGATGACATAGTCCTTCGGTTGCAGGCCATCCGGTCATGGACATCAGAAAGCATGATGTATCCAGAAAAAAGCGACACACACAGAACGCAAGCGAGTGTCAGTGCTAAAAACAAGCACGCCTTCTTAGCCTGCATCGACTGCTTGACTTTGCCGGGACTCGGAAAGCCAGTCCATGTCATCTATGGATTCTTCCACTGCCTCTGCCATCTGGGCCTTCGAAACGTAAGCAGATGCATCCAGCTCGCGAGAAACTTGACGAAGCACCGTCTACACATCCGGGCCTCGGAACACGGCGACTGGCCGAAGAAAGAAATTAAAACCCCCGCTGAGCCACGTCACGGGCATGCATTCAGAACATGTGGGACAACTCATCGACTCTCTGCGAGTGCTGCTGTATCGCTGCTGCTTGCCTGGTTTGCGGCGGCATACTCCTTTTCCAGCATCCCACGACACACCTTGGAATCTCAGAAACGGCTGAAGGCACCCTCAAGCAGCTAGCAACCTTTGACGGCAGGTCACCCGCTCGACTTTGGCAACAATCTCTGCGCCAAGTTCCTGCCATCGGAGGCGGTTTGAAGGCTCCGAGAACCCTCACTTTCCTCGAGGCTCCGGGTGTCCCGTGGTGTCCTGGTTGCCCAGTAGCTTTGACAGGGCCTTAACCGACTTCGTTGTCTGCTGGAGAGCAACTTCTGACCTGCCATGATCTGCAAGTGCAAGGTTTCCCGCACTAATCCGAAGGATGCAGGTGCTCATCGCCTCAGCACACCTTCAGCACCCCCTGTGGCTGCTGCTGCTGTTGCAGCACGTCTTGCCGAAGCCTCAGCACAGCGCGCCCTACCCAGGAACTGCTCACACAACCCCTGTGCCTGGCCTCCCTTCTCTTCTGCGCATCGCCAGGCAGAGCCAGGTCTACGAAGCGATACCACTCATCCTGGCGGTCTGCGAAATCTCTCTCACAAGTCTCGAGCGGGCAGTTCTTGGCCGTAGCCGACAGGGCTGAACTCAATTGCCATGGCCAGTGTCGCCGTAGTAACAACGGGTTCATCGAAACACTGAACGCGAGGATCACGTCACCAGGTGCGAATTGCAGGCCAATTCCGCGGAAGTAGACGGGTTTTATGAGGGTAGTATAAGCTGTAAGGCATTTTCAAGGTTTCATTTCGGCCGCATCTAGGTATAGTCTGTTCTTCAGAGTCCCACATTCGGGCGCCCTGCTTTCTGGAACTATAGTTGAGTGTGCTGGGTTTAAGGTTTCGGGAAACAAAGTTTTAGGCACCTGCACCAGGCTGTGTGGCTTTGGGTGTTCAGTCGAATGTGGTGGAGCCTCAATTTCGGAACTGAGGGCACGGCAAGTACGTACTGCAGGGCGTGCGAAACAAAGGCCTGCACCGCGAGGCACCAAGGTTGACGCAGGCATCACGCGCACCATGGCAGGTTTAGGGCCATAGACACCGGCCATGCCCGCACGCTGGCCTCAGACCTCCCGTCTGTACCATCCCTTCGACTTGAACCTCGCATGGAGACCTGGGCCTTCTAACGATAAGTTCCTTGAGTTTGGAGTTCCCATGAAATCCGCCTCGGCACTCTCGAAGTCGCTCCGCTTTTGTGGCTCTTTGCCAGGAGCTCGTTCCCTGCGAGGCTGTTCCTACGTCCGGGAGCTGACTCTCACAGACCAAAAACACACGCAAAAGAAAGCCTGCGAAGCAAAATGGGGAGTGCATAGCTTCGGTCAACGAGAACGGGCGTACAAAAACCTTGACGGAAAACCATGTAAAAACCAGGCTTGAGATTTCATGCTAAAGGTAGTCTCGAGAAACACTGCCCTGAGAGAAAGGAACAGACGCTCGTTGTCGACGAGTCCATACATAAGGATCAAACTGCTCTGCCTGTGTCGAAAGCTTGTTTAGCGAAGCTCGGTCGCTGCGGAGATCAAGCAAAGACTTGCACAGAGCACCTCGGGCGTGTGACAGTGGGCCGTGGCTTCGCAGGCTCCATGGAAGGAGCCTCAGCTTCCAGATCACGCTCAAAGCCTCAAAGCCAGGCCCGGAGCTGTCACCGAGGAATCTGCCGGAGGTGCGGCCAGCAGCGCGAGAGCCGCCTGCACGAAGAAGCTTGACTTGAGAGTCTTGTTGCTTTGGGTTCGAATCAGCTTGGAGATCCAACCCAATCCGAATCAGTAGATTGAGTCGCCCAAAACCTCAAGCAGGAAAGCACAATCCTTTTGAAAGCCTTGTGCAGCTCGCTGCCTCTCGCGCACCCTGTGCACGTAGCAGTGCACGGTGACAACGCTCCTGAGGCGGGCAAGCCAAGTCCGGCCAGGGATCCTTTCCCAGAACAAGAAAACTATGGAGTACTCCGAACTCCTCGTCTCCCGGGTTCTTGTCCGGATGAACTATCAAGGCCAAACGCCGAAAGGCGTTCCTTCACTTGCAGACGTACCAGTGTCACCTGAATCTCATGCCGGTGGGGATTCGGCCTGACAGCATAGCTGCTGGCATTCGCAGCGGCGAGGCCCAACACCTCGAAGGACGATCTCAGCTGAAACCCTTAACGAGCTTCCGTGACACAGTGCCTCGAAGGGCTTCTTCGCCTCCGTCGCCAAGATGCGAGCCAGCTCCGCAGCGCAGCGTTCGGAGCCAGGAGTGGCTTCCTTTACATGTAGCATCCTCTTTACAACGTTCTCACTCGATTTCTCGCAGCTGAACCCCGCCTCAGGCACTGCGGCTTCCGGTTCTTTGTGGTGCGATTTGGTGCTGTCTGTGCCTGCGGTGTCGCCGATGGGTCCTTCCAATGCAGGCACCTCATCACCAGCAGTGGTGCAAATGTCGAGGAATGTGGCTTGTCCGGCTCTTCCCTTGCAGACAGCAACTGAAGCTGCCCTGTGACATTCTGAACTTGTGTCGCATCCTTTCCCAAAGCTTCACGCCAATATCCCCAAGGCGAAACGCAGCTCACGACGACTACAGCACCTAGGACGTGGAATGTAGCATATAGGTCCGATCCTGACATCCACTCACCATGTTCGCGACAACACCTCCCGATTCCCCAGGCACCTCCACTTTTCCACACTCTGCTGTGCGATCACACAGGAGGCAGCAAGCATAGCCCCACCGATGGGTGGCGACGCCTGATATCCGAGGCCAGGCTGGGTTGGTCATTCATCCATCGAAATCCACAAAACCAGCTCAACCCTTGACCCTCGCCCTGGCCCAAGCAAAGATTGCTTTCGTTCGTCAAAGCACAGTAGAACGAGCCCCACACAGCGGTGTGGCCGTTCTTCAGATTGTCCTCTTCGTACTTTGAGTCCGCGAGCATACTTCGCCACTCCGTCTCTGCGACATGAAAATCACCCAGGGTTTTGCTGCCGTGGCTTCGAAACACTAAGCCGTCGAAATGTTGCACTAAAACGCTACATGTTCGCAATGCTGTTGATATTGTCATTAATTGCGACTCATAGTCAGTGCCGGGTTCCAAACATGTGAATACAATGTTTTTTTCGTTTGCCCCCAACGTTGCAGGACAACTTGAGACGGCGAACTGCGAGTGTTCTGAGAGCGCTTACACGGAATTGCAGAAAGGACCTGAAAATACAAAACATCGTAGCTAAAGCTCAACACTATTTTTGCGATGTTGTGTGAAACTGCCTGTATTGCAAACCGCGCGGCACATCAAAATGCAAAAGCCTACCAAGCCTACCACCTCTCATCGTTGCTGGCATTTTCTCATGTGTGTATCCCGTATCATTACGGCCCCACCCAACTCGGGAGCCGAATTGACACGTTTCCAACACCAGCGGGAGCCCAGCAGAAATGCTGCAAAAACCACCGGAACGCACTGTAAACCTACATGGTACACTGTAAAGCAACGCATGAAGCCAAAAGAACCCACACGGAGCAAAATCCTATTGAACCCACAAAGACCCGCCTGAAATGGTACAGCCGTTATAAAAGTGTTCTTCGTTGGCCACCACCCTTCAAACCGATTGGGTTTATCCTTCAAAACCTATCTTTTCATTCAAACATCCCAAAACAAACCAGATAGCACCAAGGACTAGAAAATGAGATGATCTATCACATCTATGATCTATGATTCATCATACTTTCCAGTCACTATGTGTATGTGTATATATGTATGTATGTATGTTTACTTATATATACATATTTTATTACTGAATTCGTTGTGCAATTTCTGATCACTATCGCTCACGAACTGATATACGCGTGAGCGTGAACTGGCATGACTGGAATCTGAACTGCGGGAACCGTTCGCCTCGGAGGGGGAATCGCACGAGTCGCATTCGCTTCGGCCCATAAACCGGGAACAAACAAACTGTTCACAAGACTTCCTGCCCAGGAAACAACGTCACGGCTGTGTCCGAACGTGAGCCGAAGTGCGGAGATGTCTGCAATTTGCCCTAATCTACGGCTTCGATTGGGTGTATCCAGCCACTATAGCTCCAACCTAACGTCTTAAGGCAATTTTAAAATGAAAACAAATGAACAAACAAGAATTGGCAAGTTGTAATCCTGGTCCGTCTAGCAAAACAGATGTTGATTGTGAGCAGTGCGAGATTACCGCTTGCTTCAACGGAATCTTTGCGTCTGAAAAGTTGAAGATTCCTGACTTCGTTGATCCCGCGATGCGCCTTGCAAAGGGCTAGCAGGTGTTCTGCCTTGTCAACACGAGTTCTCATCGGAACTCTGGCACCCTTTTCGGTATAGAGGCACGGCGGCACCCCTCTGGATGGTTTCCCTTTTCTGTCGAGCCGCACTTCGTCATGCCGTCCGCATTTCTCGCGATGCTGTTGCGTACTGCTCCGCGAATGTGTTTTTGAAGGTGATGATACGTGATATTTTGCGAGCTGATAATTTAGTAAAGTTGAGCCACTGGGTCCGGAGATTCACGTTTGCAAGTCCAAATCATTCCAATCAAACTCCGACAGCTGAAGCCCAAACAACGAGCATGCCTCCGGGGGGTGGGTTCGGGGCTGGGATTGAACACTGTTACAACCTCCTTGCAACTTTATGTGAACCTCAATTGTGTTGAACCAGAACCCTAACCTTGGATTGGAGTCAGAACAGCCCCAACCCAGGCCTGCAGGTTCCTAACCCTGAGTCTCAACCCAAACCCTAACCCCACAGTTGGATGGGACGAACCCCAAACCCGAACCATAGGGTCCGGGTTCGGGTTTGGGTTCGCCCGAACTCCAATTCGGGCCGGGGTCAGGTGGGGGTTCGCCCGAACCCCAATTCCGGGTCCGTAGCGGCAAAGAAATGAGCAAACAGTCTTCTCCAACAAGAAAAAGGACAACTACACGAAAAGGAACAGAATACTGCAGCAGTTGGGCCAGGCAAGCCAGGACGGTGAGAGGGTTGGGACAACTCACTCAATTCGTGTGATTATGTGAAAAACGCAGAGCTTCACCTT